TCAGTTTGATTAATGTCACTCTTCTGCACTCTGATCATTCTTGATTTCTTAGTTTTGGTATGACCTTGCTTCATTCTCAATCTTTGGCTCTTCTTTCTAGCTACATTGTGATTTTGATCTATAAGGTCAATTAGATCCATGGGTGGATGATATTGTTTAGTTCTTCAACGTGTTTGCTGACTTATTTACTAGATCTGTCAATTAATGAGAGAGAAGTGTAGACATCTGACTAGAATTGTGGATTATTCTGTTTCTCTTTTCAGGTATATCAGCTTGTGTTTATGCATTTGAAGCTCTTAGTTTCAAGTACTGACCAGCCTTCTACATGCTGTGGTTTTAAATTCCATTCCATTTTCAAAGCACTTATGATGCTATTTGGAGATCTCTGTAGTGTGTGTAACTCAGTGGCCAATGTGGACTTTGGCAGTGGGCTATCACTTACTTCAGTTCTCAAAGTCTATGGTATGTTATTTAGGATTGGAGCCACTTCTTGACAATTCACAGGTACGTCCTGGAGTTCACAAACAACTTTATCTGTTTGTTTCCACAGTGTCTTTTCTGATATTTTCTGGTTGCCTGGGGTTCCCCATTTTACCACTGAAAAAGAAAGCTGAAACATTATTTACCCTGCTCTGTCTTGCACTTCTCAGGACTGTGCCGTATTTAGGGCCAAGCCGCAGGAAAAAGAGGGAGAAAAAGTGCAATTGGGTATGTTCCTAGAGATCACAGCTTCTCTGAAGGAACAGAAAATAAATTATAAATTGAGAATACATCTTCATCCTGAAGCCAGTAAGAGGCAGAGCAATCCTGTCATATTTGCCCACAGCTCACAAAAGAAGAGCATCCAAACTCCTAATGCATTCAGAGGATCTAATGTTTTATAGCTTCTTTCAATAGGTTTGAAGATTTGAGGTTGGCGCCTGGAAAGGTGAGGTGGAAATAGCAAAAGCTGGAGAATGTGGGCATCGATCCCACTACCTCTCACATGCTAAGCGAGCGCTCTACCACTTGAGCTAATCCCCCACCAGCATGACCTTCACTTTCCCTCCTCTCATTTTCCAGTGTACCAGTCTCCACTTCTTTATTCGTTCTTTTGGGCTGCCCAAAGTACACGAAATGTCAACACCATTAATGTGAAATTTAGACTCCACTAAGGGCGCATCTTCTGAAAGTTGACCCGGGACAGGAGTATGGTGGCTATCTATTCCGCTGTGAGGGAAAGGAGGAGAAGGTCGCCATGGGAAACTTCTACAGCCGCTGCCATTTCCCATTTAGAATTTTCGGAGATAGAAGAGAACACATGCCAGTTGGGAGGACCCACCTAGAAAGGTTCAGCTAATGAAGGACAGCTATCCTGGGATGATTATCCGCTTCTTAAAAACAAAACAAAACAAAACAAAATAAAATAACAACAAATAGTTTGCATTGCCCTGATCCTGCTCCAGGTACTGTAAATCCACCACAGAATCCTACGGTTGTCATTTTCCATATACAGAAATTTGTGAAGGATTTACTACCCGAGTCCTTAAGTAACACCATTTATCCAACTAAGTGAACTAGTCCCATGTGTAAAAAGCTTTCATAACCCCCGGTTGCCTTGATTGGTAAAAATTACTCTAGTGACAGTGTTAGAAAAACTTTGGGCACAAGGATCCCAGTAAGAGAGGAAGAAGGAGAGACTAAAGATCTTTAAGGTGACAATTTTCCTGAATATTCCCTTGAAAGTTAAATATGCCACTTCCACAATCCTGATCTACTTTACTACCTAATGATTACTCCACAGTAAACACTATCACCTAGCTTATTATGCATTTCTCTTGTTTGCTTTTTGTCTGTTTCCTCCCAGTTCCCCTAACTGGGATATACCTCCACAAGAGAGGGAATTATTGTGTTTTTTTCACTCTTGAAACACTGCACTTAGAACAGTCCCAAACAGCACATGTGCTCAAGAAAGTTTTGTTAGATGAATAAGTGAGTGAATGACTTTCACTTCCTTCACCTCACAACTGCAGATTAGGTGACAAAACATGAAATTGGAAGAGAAATTTTTTCTACTTCCTTCATCAGATGGAGAGGAAGATCAATAGTATAACATAGCTTGCAGTTTCCAGTGTAGTCTAAATTTGTTCACCACCCATTTTGTCAAACCTCTGAGAGTTGATTTAACCATTCTCAGTGGGGATAAGGCCGAAATTACAAGTGGTTTACTGATGGTGGGGGCGGGGGGGGGGGGTTTGTTGGTTTGTTTTATTTTATTTTATTTTTTCTGCTTTTACTCGGTGATCCAGTTTCAATCTTTTTTTTTCAATGGGCTACATAACCAATGTTATGTTAGATATGAACCCTCTCCAAAATTGGAGCTCCGGACCTCCAGGTTATGAGACTAACGTGCCGGTAACTGCACTAAAAGAGGAATCCCTTCTGACTTGATCACATTCAAAGTAAAATATCAAATTTTATTCACCAAGAACAGCTGCCTTATCAATTTCAAGCCCTTAAAGAACACAATCAATGCTACTTGAAAATCACTCCATACAAGCCAATGCTGCACTGGAAGGATTTCACACCCGGGAAGGGTGGAGTCCACATCTCTCCAGTACTCACCCAGCAGTTCCACTCTGGCCTGCAGGACCAGGGACAATTGTGCCTGCCTTTTGCTGCTCTTTTCCCTCCCCTCTTGTGTTCCAATAATCTGGCTTTTCCCTCAGAGATCTCAGTCACTCTTACACTTTCCATGATACTGTGTGTTCAAAAGAAACATAGAAAGTACACAGTTCATGGACTGACTGATAGTCTTTAAATTTGTCTCTAGTCCATACTTTTCTGTCTTACTCTGTGTCTCTACTTGCATCTACGTGACTGGAGACATTTTCCCTAAAAAAACCAAAACTGAACTTATGATAAAATTCTCCCTGTTTTTTTCAGCTTTATGTGCCATTAATTATACAAGAGACTTATGGAGATTATTTTATACAGTCCAACTGAACTTAAGAAACAAAACTATGTCTCATAACCTACATTTTCCAGTATAATGGAGGCTCAGATACTTGAAGTAATAATCCTAAAGTCTCAGAGCTGCTAAGTAGCAAAGCCTAAATAGAGAAACAGACTTTCAAATTCAAAACATGATGTCTTTCTCTGCTCCAGCTAATGGTCTCTCTGCCCACCTATATATATACCAAATATCTAATTCCCAACCTCCTCTGTGCTGGCCTTTTCAGCTTAGACTTCCAAGTCAAATTTGACTCATTCTCCTCCTTCAAACACTACACCCATAACTTGCCAAATACTGAACAATGTTCTCGTGCAACTCTTTGGAATCTATCACTTCGCTTCCATTCATTCAGTGCATGCTCATTGGAGAGCTGCTCTGTGCCAGGCACTGTATTAGTCTCACGTGATTCAGAAGGCCTTAGGCCTCAAGAGATGGCAGGATAAACATGGACAAGGGACCATCCACTTCCAGTTTCACCACTTTCACTGTCCCTGGCATTTACAGTGAAATACCTATTTCTAAAATATCAGTTTCATTTGTATCACTCTTCCACACTTTGACCATTCTTGGTTTCTTAGTTGTGACACGATCTTGATTTTCTCTCAACCTTTGGCCCTTCTTTTTACCTACATTGTGATTGACCATAAGGTCAATTAGATCCATGGGTGGGTGGTATTGTTTAGTTCCTCAATGTGTTTGCTAATTTGTTATCTACTAGATCTATCAATTAATGAGAAGTGTTGATGTTTGCAACTGAAATTGTGGATTTTTCTATTTTTATTTTCAGGTTTATCTGCTTTTATTTATGAATTTTGAAGCTCTAAGTTCCAAGTTCCAGAGTCCAACCAGCCTTCTGTGTGTTGTAGTTTCAAAGTCCATTCCATTTTCAAAGCCTTTACCATACTATTTGGAGATCTTGGGAGTGTGTGCAACCCAGTGGCCAGTGTGGACTTGGATAATGTGTGGTCACTTAATTCAGTTCTCAAAGTCTATGGTATGTTGTTTAGTATCAGAATCACTTCTTCACAATTCACAGGTGTGTCCAGAAGTTCACAAACAACTTTATGTGTTTGCTTTTCATAGTGTCTTTAGCAATATTTTCTGGTTACCTAGGGCTCCTGGTTTCAGTCCACTGACAAGAAAGCTAGGGTGTTGTTTATCCCTCTCTGCCCTGCACTTCTCAGACTGTGCCACATTTAGGGCCAACCTGCAGGAGAAAAAGGGTGAAAAACATCAACTGAGCATGTTCCTGGAGCTCACTGCTCCTCTGAAGAAACAGAAAACAAATTATGAATTGAGAGTAGAGCAACATACTGAATACTAGTAAGATCCAGAGCAACCATGTCTCTTCCTCACCTATAGGTGGTCATAAACAACAGAAGGGTCCAAATGCCATAATATTTTGGAGATCCGAGGTCTCAATAATATAACCTGGAGAATGTGGGCATCGATCCCACCACCTCTCACATGCTAAGCGAGTGCTCTACCACCTGAGCTAATTCCCCACTGCCTGTTATGCACTTTCCCCTACTGTTTCCTAGCCATTTTTTGTTTCTTTCTCTCTCCTTCAGTTTTTCACTGTACCAGTCTCCACTTTTTTATTCACTCTTTGGGGAGGCCCAAAATACAGGAAATGTCAAGTCTCTTAATACAAATCCAGCACTCCACTAAGGGCTCATCTTCTCAAAGATGACCCGGGGCAAGAACACGGTGGCTACCTATTCCTCTGCCAGGGAAAGGAGTAGAAAGTCGCCTTGGGGAAACTCTAGCTCCAACACTATTGCCCATTTTATATTTTCCCGGACAGAAGAGAACACATCCCACTTGGGAGGACTTATCCAGAAGGGCCTTGCTAATGTAGCACAGCAATCTCCTAATAGTTATCTGCTTTTAAAAACAAAACCAAAAATAGATATGAGTGGGACTATCACTAGTTCTTTTGATGTGCAGCATCCTGGAAGAAGGAAGCGGGGTGATTTTTCCAGGATGACAAGCAAGCACTGTCTGTTTCCGCTTGATTTTGAACCAAGGACCTCTCACATGTTAGGCAAGCGTGATAACCGCTATACTACGGAAACTCATGCCTTGAACTGTCTCTGGAGATACATATGCCCTTCTTGGGAATGCATGTCATTTAGCAATTATATATCCATACCACATGAGAATGGCAAAAAATACAAAATATTGCAGACAAGAGCCATAGGAAATAAGAGGCGAGATCATATCAGACTGAAGGAATAAAAAATGGACATTGAGGGGTACAGATGAGAAGTGGACATGGGATGGAGTGAACATAGGATGTGAGAATTCCTGTTTTAAGAAATATACCTGTTCAGTTGGAGTGGTGTGTGCATATGTATGTGCCCGTGTGTGTGTGTGTGTGCGCGCGCGCATGGATGCCTATGTGTGCCTGTGTGTAAAATAGACATGGAGGGAAATAGTAAGTGAAAAGCCTGGACACATGGAGATTTGTGGGGGAGAATATTGTGGAGGCTTAAGAACCTTTGAAAAAGTTCCAGGTAAATGGTTTACATAATCAAACTAAAATTTTAGGAAAGGGTTTTAGTTTTACATGCCAAGAGTTTGTAAATGAGTAAACTAGAAATGGAGAGAAAAGGAAAGAAATTATAAAGATATTAAAGGGTTGAGTTGTATCCTGTTAGCGCCTGAGATCAGCAGTAGCATGAGTCTTTCTGCATCTCCAGCGCCCAGCACACTGCCCGGTACAGAATACATCTTCCATAAACATCATGGACTGGATAAAGGAATAGATGAATGAGAAGAAAGAGAAAGGTTCTGGAGAGATTGTTCAGGAAAGATCTAAGGCATTTGTCTAGAGACTGAATGTAGAGATTTGAGGGAGAAAAAGAAGTCCATGGCACTTAGGAATCTTGAACCAGGGTGGCAGACACAGAAGAGATTTTTGAATTAATATCTGATGAAAGGAAGGATAAATCCACTCATTTATATGTATATGCTATATGAATGAATGAGCGAATTAAGGAATAAACTGGTATGGAGAAAAACAGATGGTGAGACTATGAACCTGGTTAAAAGTAAAGCCCATATTTTTAGTTCAGAAAAAATCAGCCTTCTGTATCTGGTTTTATTCCTTACAGCCTTGTGTTTCAGTCCCTCTGAGCTTCGGTTTGATCTGTAAAATGGGAAGAATGATATTTAAGTTAACTGCAAGGCTAAATCAAACAACTTGCATAAAATTAGTAACCTCTTAGACAATTTCTAGCATATGGTGCTCAGAGTCTTTTTGTGTAGAATATTATTTGCCTTTCAGGAGACTGCTCTCAAGATCTGATAGAAAATTTAGTGAAAGTCTTTTGTCATCTGCTGATTGGCTCATTTAGTTTGTAGTAACAGGCTTCTGAAACACAAAAAGAAAAGTGGAGGAATAGAACATATTCATTGCAAACAAGATATGATTTTCCAGGCAAAATGGCTTGATCCAAGGATCCAAGTAGGGTATTTATGTCTGGATTCCTAGTTCATTCCTTTTTAATCTTTCTTAGATTGTACTCCAAGTCACCAGTTGTTGTCATCCTTCTCTCACAGGCTTAGAGAGATAGCAAATGAAAAGAAAGAATCTCCCATGAACCACTATAGGGCTTTCTTCAGCCTACAGATGGAACCTTTAAGGAGAATCAGTGGCAGAATGTGATCTTCAGGGAGCAAGCTCTGGACAAACTAATCTTCAGAAATCCATTTCTGGAAACATGTGAATAAGAAATGAAACAGTATATCGTCTCCTTTCCACTCCCTAAGAGAAAATCCAGGAGGCAAAGTTGGAATCCTACAACCCGGAATCAGATATGTCACCATTTTGTGGTCACTGGCACCACAAAGAATAGAGTGCTTTCAAGGATAATTTATCCTGAATAAGCTACTGCTCTGTCTACAGTGTCACCGTTCTGGATGTGTCTACTGTCTCTTCTTCCTCTCTCCATCTTCCAGCCTCACAGAATGTTAAAGATTTCTGCTCTATCCAATGTAAGGATCCTCACAAGCCCTTTAGTCAAATCCTCCAGCCCTCTGCATCCTGGTACTCTCCTGAAGAAGCAGAAGATAAGGGACCATTTTAGGGCTTCACTGTTAGAGAACAGAAAGAAACTGGAAATTAAGGATCCATGCAGAAGAAAATGGATAAAATAAAATGTATGCAAAAGGAACCCTGCTTTGAATTCTGTTCTACTTTTCACCCAACATTCAAATGACTATCAACTGTGACTGGGTTATAAGAGAAGTCCTAAACATTCGTGATCCTTACACCTTTATTTCTTATTCCCTAATTATAAAATAGAAAATTCTGTTTGGGAAAAAATAAAAATTATACATTATTGATAAATTGCAATTCATCAGTAAAATTCAAACATTGGATAAAGCACAAAGAAAGAGAGGAATACATTGGCCAATGCAGTGATTAATATTTTGCAGGTATGATAGGATGATTTATTTTTATTATCTTTTAATTGTAATTTAATTTAATTTTATTGATTTGCTGGAAAAGATTCGCTCTGGGCTCACATCTGTTGCCAATCTTCCTCTTTTTTTTTCCTCCTCAAAGCCCCCATATACACTTGTATATTTTAGTTGTAAGTTTTTCTAGTTCTTCTATGAGCTCTTACTACGGCACGGCTACTGACAGACGAGTGATGTGATTCCAGGCCTGGGAGCTGAACCCAGGCAGCTAAAGCGGAGTGCACTGATCTTTAACTGGTAGGGCATCAGGGCTGGCTCCATATGATGGTTTATTGAAATATTAATTTACATTTCATCTGCCTATCCCCTATCCTTACCTATTACCTGAATTTCAAGTTAAAACCCATATTTTGTGGCTTAACTCTATGCAGTTAGGATATAATGAGGTCAAAACAATGATTTGAGCATAAAGAATCTCATATTCTAGAGGAGAGACAGAATATTTAAAAAGAGAACCTTCATAAGACACTTTCTGTATCACAGTGTTTGTGAGGAGGATGGAATAAGTTGATGCGGTAGATACTGAGTATATGGCTTTAGCCAGGGAGGTGGTCTCTGTAGCACAGTGACATTTGATTTGGGGAACAAGTGCCAAGAATTAGACATCTTACTAAATCTAGGTCAAGATTAGAAGAGATGTTATTCAGGAGCTGGCAGCTGAAAAAGGGCCTCTGTAGACAGCTGGCAAACTAACCCACACAGAGCCCAGTTGCCCACAGTAGAACCAAAATGTAAGAAACTTTTTTATCTCATTTCAAGACCATGCACCAGTGGCCTAAGCATATGTTGGGGTTGCTGAAGGACCACCCATTCATAGACTCTCCAAGAGCATCATCCGTAGGACTCTTTGCATCTGAAAGAGTTTTAGCTCAGGTTGAAGGAAAGGAAATTCTTTGTGAAGAGTGAAATGCAAGGACTGTTCCACAGCTCAGCATGGCAGAAGCATAACCCTCTGTCTCTTCCTTCCGTGTTTTTGGGCTTTATCAGGTTCTGCTCACAAATGGGGATGAAATACATATTCAAAATTATCTGGTGGGATTTTTTCCCAATATTTAGTCAGATTTTATTGGCCTCTTCAAAGAGGAAAAATTCTATCTTGGGTTCTATGTGTGGAAATTATGCACCACATGGTTGTTGCATAATTTTGCAGGCACCTCTGAAGGTTTTGATCAGCATTGTCATTGCAGGCACTGTGAAAGTTGGGTCCCAGCAGATGGATAAAGAATATCCTGAAGGAAGAACTTCGCAAAGATCTTACTTTTATTCTTCTTTCATGAGTTTTCTTTAAGAACTCCCCTTGTTTCACAATATTCCTTTTATGACAGTCTGGGTCTTTTTGATCTCCTTCTAGACTCCTGCTTCTCTGAGATGTCAGATTCACAAATTGTCTTGTACATCTTGTCTCTCTAGGTGTCTCCCACCAGCCTTCCTTGTTTATTCGCTGGCTCAATTACAAAGCAGTGGAGAGGGCTTTTTTTACACCAAAGTCTCTCTGTTCAGAAAACAGGGTGGGTGGTCCACCCTCCCACTAGCTATTAACTGTGAATCTTGAGTGAAAATGCCCAGCACAGTCCCATAGAGATGATGCTTACTCTCTCCACAGCATTTTCCAGGTCTTCCTTCCTTATCCATAGCCCACAGACAGAGAGTATTGGCCAAAGAGAGAGCCTGAGCTGACTTGTGTGTAAAATAAAAAAGAACCAGAAATATACAATTGCCATTTTTTAAAGAGGTCCAATATTTCCTCTGCTGAGTTCAGGAGAGAAGCTCTAAGAATTGCAGGTGCCTCTCAAGAAGAAATGAAGGAGCAAAACTGGAGAAAACAGGTGTCTTTTCCACTAGTTCGGATTGCAAAGAAGGCATCCTAACATTTGACCTAATTGCTAAGCTCTAACCCTCTTTTCGACCTGTGGTCATTCTAAACATGTATCCTAATCAATTGTGTGGGTCTAACCATGTGCCACAGGGTTACTTCACTGCTACGGAAGATAGCATCTTCTGATCTGACTGAGAGCAGAGTATGTTAAACATGAACTCAGCAAAATTACAGTGAAAACCTACTGTTTCTGTCAGGGTGTGGGGAAAGGTAGACGGATATGATATCATCCTGGGAAAGATCTAGCTCTGAGATGGTTTCACTATTTGAATTGCCAGGAGGCAAGTGAAAGTCCTAGCTGAGTAGGGTTCCAAGTTGGAATTTTGAGACTCTTCCACAGGTTGTGTATCTCACCATAAAAACAAGGTTGAGATTTTTACCTGATTTTGAAAATATGGGCACCTAGGATAACCAGGGTGGGCAGCTGTCTGGGCCTCACATCTGCACCATCATCCCCTCCCAGTGTGGCCCAGGTGCCTGGGTACAACTTGGTCTCTCCTCTAATTTTCCAGAGAAAGGAAGCATTGGCGTACGAAGGCACTAGGATCTTTGGACGAGAATAAGGTAGGGTTAGGAGGAGGAAGAATTTTTAAGAGAACATTGGAAAGTGGAAATCAGGGCTTTTACTCAGCATTTAATTTTAAAGAAATTAAGGAATGGTCAGGAAAGATCAACAACAAAAACACTGATGGTCTAGGGGTCAGAATCCCT